TGGTCCAGTGTTGTCTCATTTTTATTTATTCCATGGTGCAGAGGTTAACAACTTCAGGATACCCAGATTTATTTGGTGCCCCCACATGCCCTTCATGGGTTACAGGGCAACCAGAATATATGCACGTAAATGATATCTATAGCTGCTAAGAACAACTAAAGTGGTCAAACTTAGCTTAATTGCAAGCCAAATTTTATCCTTTCTGTGCTGCTTAGCACCTATGGATATCATTCCCCCCTAAAAACATTCTTTTAAAACTTGCTTTTTGGGGGTGGGAGGGTCATGCAGTATTTGATGGGAAAGGCTACATTCAGTCAGCAGATCCCATGTTGCCTACTCCTGGTTTAGCATGACATCACACAGGCAATATTGTCACTTGGAAGAGGAGGAGGGATTACCATACTGAAACAGTCATCTTAGAACTCCAAAGGCACAGCCCATTTCTCATTCGCAAGCCATGCGTGGAACTGGGAGTTGGTTCGATCAGATAAGCATCCACTATCTCATTTTCCCATGCGTAATGCCAAAAAGATACTGCCAATGGGATGGGGAGCAAAGCTAAAAATATAGTTTTCTGCATCACCCCAAACTGATATACAAAAAGAAGCACCATGGATCAAAATAAGGCTGCTCAGGTATTGCACTTTCCGATCTCAACTTCTTTCCATTTGTTGCTTGGACCTTAGTAACTAACGATTTCCTTAAGTGCAGTCTCCCACTGGGAAATTGAGTCCAAGCTGTTCAGATCAAAGTCACAAGAGGAAACTTATCATGATCGGCACGAGTCTGCATTCACCCTGTTACAACAGAGCAAGAAGCAGAAATCTAAGGTGGCTGTTTACCACTGGTAAATTCTAGCAACAAGCAATTTATATTCACTCATCAAGGAAGAGGCAAGTAGAAGCAAATATTATGGCCATGCTCATTTGTTTTTTGATTACAAAATGTATGCAAATTAAGAGAAACCATCAGGCTCCTGGAAAAGTGCCAGAATGGTTATTAGTGTCATGAAATGGAGGGGAGGTAGCAACAGGGCACGGTATGCCTGGAAAGTAGTGTCAAGCAGCTGCCATCAATCCCATCTGGAACTGGAAGCCATGGCCATGCTGAAGGGTCAGGTGGAAGCTAAGCCCTACAGCAGCCTGCCTTTTCTTTTCTTTCTTTTTTTCGAGTTGGGGTGGGGAGGGAGTGAGCTGAAAAATCTGTTCACTTTGAGGTTAAAAGTGTGATAATTACAGAGTGACAACCTCCACTGTCATTTGGGAGGCCGCATCCCCAGGAAACCTTGCTGTGTAATCAAGGAAAGAGGTGCAATCAAGCCCCTATTCAGGCTACGTTTAGAAACAGCCCCTGCGGGAGGCAAGAAAGACTCAGAGATGTTGCTTCATGAAGATGGCAGTGAGGTTGCTTTGGTGGCTCTGCTGCTCAGTAGAACTGCCCTTCCACTCCACCTACAAAACCCAAAGAAAGCCTGGGGAAGGGCAGCCGTTCTCCACGTAAGCATGTCTCTAAGCTCTGCAAACTGGAAACCTCTCTTCCCCAAATCTACCTGGCAGAAGGCGCTGGGGAACTTCCCCTGTTCAAATTTAAATTGCAGGCATGTGGCTGTCCCAATAAAGCAATGGGAAGATTTGGGGTTGAACTAGAATTATCCTCTGGGACATTTTAGTTCTGACAATACGTTTTACGTATGACAAAGGCACAGGCATGCTAAGGGCCAATTCATATATTATGCCCGTGTGTGTGTGTGTGTGTGTGTGTGTGTGTATGCACACGTGCATGTGTGTGTGCATGTTTGTAAACTAACGCCTTCATATACATCCCACTAGGGAGTCACAATTTATGAGTTTGCTACTGTAGAATATCTGAAAAAACACCCAGTAGAAGAGGATCAGGGAACTGCTTGACATAAATGTCTTCCTCACTATTAAGCAAGACAATGAATTGCCTTCACATGATGGAACTTAATTCCAGCATGCCTGATAGGAGCAACTCCATGGCACAAGAATGATCAAATACAGTGTATTTGTGTACCAGTTAACTGGTTCTTTTCTTTTCTTTTTTCTTTTCTTTTATTTTCTTAAGTCATTATGGAAACATTATTTCAAATTACTCTGGTCTTCTATGAGATCCTCCTAAGAACCAGAGCGGCTATCGGCGTCAAAGTGACCCCAGAAAATTATAAAGATGTCTATTTCCGACCTGGATCAGCTTTCATGCCACAACTATCACTGATCTGTTTCAGGCAGCAGGCCATTGATGAAAAAGGGGCAAAGCTGAGCTGGAACCCCCCGGGGACCTAGCAGAGGGGAAGTTTCTAAAGCATTGTCAAACAAGCCCCCAGTCAGGTCGTAGACATGTTGAATGGAAGCAAGTATCACCACAGAGTTATATGTGGGACTGAAAGCCAGATTAATTGGTGCTCCACCAACCAGCAGATGTGGAATAAGCCAGAGTGAATAAGCCTTCTCCCTTAAAGAGACCTTTCTTGCTTTACAAGACTTTGATGTGATGATAGCTTTGCAGCTGGAGCTGAAGATGGAAATGAGACTTCCTTCATATACAAGGGGCTGGTCCTGTGGAATTTCCCACAGGTTTGAAAATAACACCCAAACTTGCATATCTAATCTGCACGCACACTGCACTTCCATGGGCAGGGTGCAGGAGTGATGCCCTCAGACAGCTCCTGAGACTTCAGCACTCCAGGACCCTCAGTCCTTGTTCCCTCATCCATTCATCTGGCTGGCAGTGAAGTCTGTTCCCCACTGGCCCAGTTGTAATGTCCAGGTTGCAGCTACTCTTCCTGACTACTCTTGCCACTGACTTTCCCCCTTTTACCCTTATGGGAAGATGGTGATGGGAGCAAACTGCCATCACTTGCTGCTCTCCATTACCCTTTGGGCAGCAGACAGGGTGAGACGGACAGGAAGAGAGCTCTGCTTTTGAGAGGCACAACAGGAAGAATCTTGCAGAGGACCCTCCAAAACCTGAAGCCGCACCTGGCAGGATCACAAACCTGATCACAACGGTGCACAGTTGTGTTATCCTAATTACTGTACTTGGAGTTGTTGTTATTGCTTATTTTAAGCAAGGACAGATCTTCAAAATTTGTGCACATGTGAGGAACTTGGCGGAATTTCTCCAAGTATTTCTGTAGAAGAGTTCACTGTGCAATGAGGTTCACTAACTGGAACTGCTGTTTGCTTTAATGAATCTGGAATACTGTAAATGGAACTTCAGTATCATCGGGGTCAGCTAAGTATTTATTTATATATCTCTCCCCTGTCCGCAGAATAAATGAGCTTGTTGTGGTTTCGCCATCTGCAGACATAGGTATCAATCAATAGCCAAGTAATGGCCTGAACTCTGTTGAGAGAACTCATTATTTAAAAAAATCAAGAGTACACACTGCATTTAGCTATTAAAACAGGAGCTATTGATCGAGTCCCATCAGCTCCCAGCAAAAGCCAGTGACCAATGGCAAACAACACGGAAATCCAAAATATGGAAAATGGTGCAAAATTCATTAATGATCCAAGAAGAGGAATGGGGTGTGGAGAATTTTAGTGTCCTGTTGAAAAACAAAACCATCTTAAAGGCAGGGAAATCAGAAATAAAATTATTTATTGATATATGAAAAGCAAAGGCAAATTATGCATTCCAGCAGTGTCATATTTAGTGAGTAGAAGGAGACAGAGAAAGTGCACAAGTAAGTTACGAAAAGGTTACCAAAGTGATTCCGATCCTAGTTGTTATACAGCTAGAAAAAAATGGAATGATTTTAGCAGACAATAATATAATGCACAAGTACATAAGAAATTCAAACATGTTTTCTTTCCCCTCTCTCTCTTTCCAGGTATCTTTTGCGGCATTTGCATTGATTTATTTTAGGGGGCTTCTCCGGGCTTCTTGCACAGTGTGTGACAAAGCCAAAGTGCATAGCAAGGTTAGATACTATAAACCTTGGACTCAAACTTCATTGGAAAGTATGCAGAGGAGGAGTTGAAGGTTGATGGAAAGAAAGAAAACAGTTCTACACAAACAACTCAAATATCAAACGCAAACAGGCAAATAGCATGGATAATTAAATCCTTTTCCTGATAATTTGTTTCATAAATAAACAAGTGTTGTATGTTCTGAGTGTATCATATAAACCTGCCTCGTGTTAGATGTCATAGCACAAATAAAAAAGACGTTTCCTCCCCCCATACCTCCTCTGAGTCCTGCATAGCTGTGGAAGGCTGAATAGGAAAAAGAAAGTCACAGAAAACTGAGTACAACATTGATGTGCCTCTAAATACCAAATTTCAGCCCAGTAGTTCTACTGCATATGAAGAAGCAATCCAAGAAGGGGGTTCATTCCATCTCTCTCAAACACCCCAGGAAAATATGTTCATTTTGTCATCCTCATCCTGGCTAGATCAATCAGCAAGGGCACAACCAAATGCCAAATGTGACATACGTAACATGGCATGTAGCAGAATTTCACCCAGGCCTCACGTACCCTATATACTTACCCTGTTCTTTCTTTCTTGGCCATACAAAGGGGTCAAATAGTTTAGGAACTCTGCCCCAGCTATTATTGCAATCTCGAATGGAGGAGGAAAATAATACATGCCTTTCATTAACTAACTCACTGCTCTTATTTTCATTATTTCAAGAAAGGCAGACAGTGGTTGCACATCAGAGGGTGGCAGGGTATGAATCCTACACTTTGCCAACACTAAAGAATAAAGATCTATAATCAAGCCATGCATGTGTGGAGCAATCAAGCTATGAATCAAAAACGGAGAAGTCAGACTCATTTGTACATTGGCAGGTCCTACACTGTTCTGATTTCTGGCCTGATGTGGTTGGCTATCAAACAATATTCCTGTTGTTATTCTGCAGAAAATTAAATCTTCTGAAATACTAAAACTGAGGAAAAGGAACGTGGGCAATGCTGATTAAAATGGCATGTGATGCAGAAAAACCCTGGGGAAGAATGAATGTGCTCTTACCTTCAGAACAGAGTTTCCCAACATATCCAGTGGCTGAGCAATCACACTGTGGCTCACCATCCAGAAGGAAGCAAGTTCCCCCATTCTCACAAGGGTTCTCTGTACATAGCCCTTCCATGTCCAGGCGGACCCCTTGGTGGCCCAGGAGCTGGGGTTCAGAATTGCCATATTTCAAGTCCAAGATAAATCCTTTAAATGGTGGCTCACTCAGGACACTGTCAAGGGTTAAAGCTGCAGGGCGGATGTCCAACGGGACCCCACCCACAAAGAGGTCACTAACAATATTCATGTACTGGCGCTGTGGGCGCACCTCTCCAGGCTTGGCTTCACCATCCAGCACAAGGACTGTCCGGAGATGGTTGCGACTAACCATCAAGAAGTGGAGGTTGCTGTCGTTGACCTGCTTATCCGTAACAACTGTGGCCTCAGCACAGTCCACACTGAACCGGAGTTGAATCCGCCCATCCACCAAGGACAAACAAAGGAAGTCACAGACACCGCCATCATCAAAGTAAAGAAGCAGCCCTGCCGAGACATTCGTCTTCAACTGCAAGCTGAGGTCGCTCCTTGTACTTGCATCCCAGCGAAGGTAACGGGCCCACTGATTGGGGAGGCCCATAAACTCTAGTCCAAGACAGAGGCTGAACAAGGAGCCCAGCAATAAGCTCACCTTCAGGATGAAAGAAGCAGAGTGGAGGGTAAAGCCCATTTTCAAAGGATGCTTTTTTTAACTTGGGAGAGGAAAAATTAAAGCCACTTGCACTAGTGTGGGCAGCTGTGATAATAGGCACTATGACCGTGAAATTCCACAGGAGAGGAAATACTTGGCTGGAATGGCAGATTCTCCCTGGTAAGGAAAGATCTCAGCTATCCTTGAGGATCCAGAGGCCTTTATCCTAAGTGGAAGAGGATGGAATGAGAAGTCTTCAGGGGCAGATTTCCAGCGCTGTCCTTGAACCTGCACAGGTTCCAGTGAAGGGCAGGAGCAGAGTCAATAGCCCATCTCCAACCTGCAGCTCCTTAGAAGCAATGGTGACGGCTGAAAAGCATGACTAGTAACCAGCTCTTCGAACGTGCAACTCCACGGACAGAAAAATCGAAGTCAATCTGCATTGTGTAGGGAGGACGACCCAGTCCCTAATTCCTCAGTTCTTGACAATCAGGCCCTAAAGAGACAGTGGGAGAAAGCAAAGGGAAAGCATTAATTCTAGTCATCTCTAATCTATTGACCTTGTCATCCTAGAATTTTAACACAGTGACTAGAATAAAATAATAATATTACAGTTATATCCCACACTTACACTAGAAAGTACCCAGAGCAGAATATAAGATAAAGCTAGAGCTATATAATGTGTTAATTAAAAATACAGGAAACATTATCCTACCAGTATTTATATGCAAAACCAAAGAACAAAATACTAACTAGAAGCAAAAAGAAGTGACATACACTTTAAAAACCGGCAGTGATAGAACAAGGTGTTACACACCAAAAACCTGTCAAAATGAACGTAGGATTTTCTACTGTGAAAGCATTCGAGATGTAGCAACATGACAAAAAAGCCATGTCTCCAGTTACACACCAAGATGGTGCCAAGAGCAAGGCCTCTGACATTGATCTTCATTCCCAAAGAAATTATATGGGAAAAGAGGGAGGTAAGGCCACACTCGCTGGTGACAATGGAGAGTGTACTCCAACATACTGAGAAGGTAATACATTGGAGAGGCTGATTTATGACTTTTAAGACCACTAACAGCATTTTGAACTTATGTTGGTAGCAAACAGGAAACCAGTGGAGCTAACACAAGCTAACACATGTTTTCATATGTGAGACAGGATTAAAAATCAGACAGCTACATTCTGGACCAGACTGTCTTCACAGGCAGAGCCACACAGAATGCAGTACAATGATCCAGTCTGGAAGTAACCAGCATGGATGACTGAATCCAAGTTGGCCTTCTCTAGGAAAAGCACAAATAAGGTTCATGCAAGGTTTACAGCCCTGCAATATGCAAGTTCATTGAACGGTCATTTCCCAAGGCCTGTTACAATAACTAGTTGTGCATTGACCTCCAAAATCATAGAGAAGGACAGGTACTAAATGTGCATCTTGTAAATTTCGAGCACAGAACATCCAAAAGAGCTCCAGAAGTTCCATAAAGCCCTTCTACTGTGTCCATCAAAAGACCTCTATGCTACTTCTAATCATTAAGCTAATCATTAATCTGATACATACTGGAGCAAAACTACAAGACATTGCAGAGATGCAGTTCTCTGCCGGTGAAAAAGCATTTATAAACTTGCTCTGTTAAAATTTCTTTTGAAATGGGAGATGATTGGACAAGATACAATTTGGCAAAACTAGGATTAATCCCTAACTTTTAAGGACATACTTAAGATGCTGGTGTCCCAAGGAAGGTAAAGGATAAAAAGGGGCTATTTTGCAACCCACTGGATGGTATACATATTACACAGGCTTCCTTTTTAAAATGTTTTATTTGTGAAGTATTTTTATAGTTATTCACATATATTTTTTAGAAAGTGAACATAATATACGTAGCATAAATGCAGACAGTATACGATTATTTAACAACATGTTAACAGGAAACAGAATGTAGTGTCAGACATTGAAATGGAACAAATTATGGGCCAATAAGGCATGAATAAGGCATGCCCTGGTGAATAGTTCTGTTTCTGAAAGTAAATAATAAATCAGGATCTGAAATCAAAAGATAGGTCTTTAATACACATAAACTTTTTTATATACTTTAGGGGTTTTGCTGCTGATCTTTTAAGATCTTTGGTATAGCCACTGAATGTCAAGGAAGCAAGATCTCTACTTCAGCTCTGCCCAGGCTGAAGTTCATGTGAACTTTCTTAGGGAACACAAGATCTTTCCGTTCTCAGCAATATGCACCATAATGGATCCATTCCTAGTGTAACCCAGTGTCTTGGTCTATCCCATCAAGCATACAATACTAGATGCTGCCAGCTAACTCTACCCCCAAGCAAAAACACTAAGTACAAAGGACATGATTTCTCAGGACAGCACAGTCAGACTGAAGGCAAAGGAAGCAAAGGTCCCAACATTTTATTTTCAATGTAAGTTATAATAGTAAGTAAAAGAAGCATGCTAGAGATATGAAAGCCTGGGGAGAAACAAGAAAATTGGAGACTTTTTCTTTCCCCAGGGATTTTTGGAAAGTTGGGGAGGGATGCCCCCATTTTTTTCAGGCTTCCACATCTAAAGCAGCATCATGGCAGTAAGCGTTCATATACAGTGGTATAATGGAAAATTTTCCCTGAAATGATACCCCCAGGGAAAGCCCAAAAATTCAGGCAGCTGTGTTGATCTATATCAACAAACAAGTTATAGCACTTTTAATTTCCACCAGGAAAGTTAATAGGTCCTAATTGCCCATTCAAGACCAAGCCACCCCAAAACACTTCAGATTGCAACCAGGAATAATGTAATGAGGCTGGGGAAAAAATCCCATCTCTACTGCTAAACTAAACTCAGAGGGAACAAGGTAGTGTGAGGCGGGGCAGGGAGGGAGGGGAGGGGGGAGGAAGAATAATGCTGCCATCTTTTCTAATAAAATGTTGCCAGCACCACATACTGCAAACCCTAGTTCTGCTGTATTATTGCACTGTTCACGCAGTAAGGCCGCATGAATTGAAGCACCCCGTTTGCTGTTCCCAAGTCAACCTGCTGCAGCATGTGGATTTTTCATTTTTTATTTCTTTGCATTGCAGAGTTCAGCACTGAGCCTCATGTCTGTGCATCTTTCCACAATTAATGGGGCCTGCACACATTTATGACAAAATGGAAAGTTTTGCCATAGATAGTGGAAGAACAGGTGGAAAAGGAATCACACAGTTCAAACTGGAGAAAACATGCACAGTTGGGGACAGCAGGCAAGCCTGACACTTATTCTGGAAACCCACAGCGTGTATTATTTTTAGTGGATTATTTCAATGCGTAAGCTGCTACAATCGCCCATACCTGACCTTAGATGTCAAAAAACAATGGTGCTTTCTCCACAGAGAAGAGGAAAGCTAGTGTTGAGGCTGCAGACATCAACCAAGCATGTTTTGCCCCAGTCAAGCTCAGCTTATATCCAAGGCACCGGTGAGCACACTGCTAGGTGTTGCATGAGCCTGATGCTGAGCAGTAGGGGTGGGCCACATGTTGTTCATGGGGACTGCCAATCACCTTCCCTGGCCTTAATTGTGGCCCCTGCTTCCCCCCAAGTCTACTGCAGAGGCAGCAGAGCAATCAGCAATTTGCCACAGTGATGGAGTAAGAAGGCCCAACTTAGCTCTAAATCCTTGGTAGTGCTTTGCTGCCCATTGATGCTGCTGCCACTGAAATTTTGCAGTGAGGAGATGTACCCTGGGGGAGTTGGTGCCCTTGAATTTGCCCACAGATAGTTGGTCTGAGGCTATAAACATCAGTCTGCAGTCATTCTGTAGGATGCACCTTGGAGCAGGCATGGGAATCCACCCCCATGCTTACCTCCACAGGTGGGGAAAGGAGGGAAGGTTATATACAGTGTTAGGCAGCTTCTTCCACCCAGCAGGGCAGAAACACAGCAGAAAGGTGTTCGCCCTCCCCTTGCCATGGCCCTATCTCTGACAAGATCCAACTGCAGCTGTTACTTTAGTCATATTCATATTCTTTTAACAGAATCATGCAACCAAACTACACGTTCCACATGTCATTTGCCCTAGTCTGTTCACAGCTGTCAGCACTAATTAATAATCTGTCTACCACATTATGCATCATTTGATGTTTCCAGATGCTTTTTAGAGGCAGCTATGGAGTCAGTGGCCAGATCATCTTTCTTCAAGGTGAAGAAAGAAGGTATCTAAAACTGTGAAATCTAAACCAAAACCAACCAAAACAAAATAGCAATTAATACTAGCTGGCTATTAGTCAAGACAGGACATTCACCCACAGCACTGCCAGCTTTTTATTTCTAAAACCTAGAAAAGGGCCAGAGATCATGTAGGAACTGCCATATACCTGCTCAAGCCATGAATTTAATATTTCAGTTTGGACTACTGTATCCTATAAACTACTCGGGGTCTCTGCAGTGGCCTTCTACATCCAAAGTATGTTCTACATACCCTTCCAACCTTGGATATTTATTTATTTATTTAAAACATTTTTAAATAGGTGAAGCCAGGGCAGAAAATGACAGAGAGTAGGGTGACCAAGCTGGGGTTCCCACTCAGTGGGTCTCCACAAGACCAAAGGTAACTCTAGTAGGTCTTGAGTGTAGCAGAAAATTGTATGAATCTAAAATGTACTGCCTTTATATACACTGCAGACTACACGAGCCATTCATGATGGGCAGCCTACATGAGCTGTTCCTTTCATCAAAAGATACATAATCATACTAAAAACAACTGGGGGCAGACTCTCAAATTCTAATAACATTTCCAAAATTTCAGTTGTTATTTGTCAGTACTTCGTCTGTCATTCTCAGCAGGCCAGGCCAGAGATGACAATGCCTTTCCCCTCTGCCGCTAAAGCTTAACTGCTGAAGTGCGATTGCTCTGGGGCATATGGATATTGTTGTGGATGGTAAACTAGATCCAAATGGAAGACATCAATCTCTCTGCCTGCCACATGGCGGCCTTAACTTAAAAGAAGCCAGATGAAAAGAAAAATTAAAATCAGAGACAAGAGAACCTAAAAGCAATAGATGGAGCGAGCGTTCAGTTCCCAGCGTAAGATATTTCCTGCAGCAGCCTGCCTGGAGCTTGTTAGCTAAACTGCTATAAACACAAATGCAATCAAGTCAAAACCAGAGGGAAGATAATTCCTTTTAATTGTTAACAGCTTGGTTCTGACGGATAGAAGGGAGAAAGCCGGAGGCACTGAGAAACCTTTATTCCCTCTTGGGCCTTGCAAAGTTACAGTAGAACATCTTCTCTGTTTACCTTTCTTCCTCTTGGCTCCCCAGTGGTCACACTAAAAACAGCTTGTGATTTATGTAGAAAAGGGAGAGATGAAGATAACAGAGAGCAGAGAAGGGGCCCAGGCCTGGAATTATTGATGAGATGGGAATAGAATTTAATAAATTGTAAATTAGCCAGCAATATGCTCCCAGCCACTCCTTAGAATTTGCCATGATGCTATAACTCAGGACCAAAAGA